GCCATTCATAAACTTGCTCCGACTTACATTTCCGATCTTGTATCTCTGAAAGACACAGGGGGTAGGTACTATCTTAGATCAAATGATGGCAAACTTCTTAACATTCCACCATGCAAGTCTCTCTCCACGCTTGGTGATCGATCTTTTTACATGGCTGCCCCTAAATTATGGAACGATCTTCCCCTTTTTATTAGAAATATATCTTCAGTTAATACTTTCAAGAAGGCTCTTGAAACTCATTTATTCCAGAAGGCGTTTCCTAGCTAATTTATTGTTTTTATTCTTTTCATAAAGGAGGATTTGTATATAAGACTTTAAAGATTAATTATCTATTGTAAATAAGACTTTTTGTTAATTGGAATATGTTTAGGATTTCAGGATTTTGTTAAGTCAAGGTAATGCGCAGATGAATATTTTTTATGAATATTTCTTGCGCATTACAAGGTAATGCGCGGATGAATTTTTTTTATTTTTTGCGCAGATGAATATTTGCGCAATACAAATCAATAAATGTTATCATTATTATTATTAGTAGTAGTAGTAGTAGTAGTAGTAGTAGTAGTAGTAGTAGTAGTAGTTTCTAGGCAGTTTGTATTGTTATAGCAATTTATTTATTATCCCGGCCTCTTGACGCAAACTGCGAAGCAAATTCTGCTTACAAACTGGAAAGTTTAGAAACGGAACACTAAATTTTTGGATTAAATCAATATTCATCTGTAGGAATGCTAAGCTCTGCACTAATGTAAAAGTTTCCGTTTCCAGCTCAAAAACTCAGTACGCGCATGTTTAGTTCAATTAATGCTATACAGGACTTTAGAGCGTCTTCAAAACTAGCTTGAAAAATCCATCAACAATGATGCACTGCATCGAATTTCTACGCGCTTGAAATAAACCGCCTCCTCTATTACGAACAAAAATTCCTCGTAAATCGGAAGAGATTTGATCGAAATTAATATTAATGATAAAAAATGAAACATTACACTCTTGGAGTTATTTTTGGACGCAATAATAACTTGAATGACAGGACAAGATAAGCTGCTGAAAGCCTAGAAGGTTCTGGTTAGCTAACAGAACGGAGAACCCTTATTTCTTCGACTGATTGAGTGTTTGATTCATCCGCACTTCATCATGTGCTAACTCTGATGCATGATGCCGGGTTTGGATTCTGGGCTCTGGTTGTTCCCAATAGACCATAAACACATTGGCTCCTCATACAGTGTTCATTGACCTTTCATTAGGCTTGCTTTTTTTTAAATTAAGAACTTTTTGCATGACATACGTAAAAAGTCGCGACCTTCCAGTCATTTATACACCTATAGCACGTGCTTCGAAACAGAACACGTTTTTCATTGTTAAGGGTTTCAAATCTGACGTTTCAAGTGTGAGCGCTTCGTCCTTTCGCTCTGACGAAGGGCTGACGCCCGAAACGTCAGCTTTGAAACCCTTTACGGAGGCCAATTTACAATATAAACTCAGTTGATCACCTTGATACCCCCATCGGCGCAGCATCACAGTTTCTTCAGAAAATTACTCCCTTGAGTCACATTTTTCATTGTCATGTGAAATTTCTGACAATTCCGACTTTATCCTTTGTAGACATCAAAGTTTCAATTGAAGGTAACGGTTTATGTACTAGTGTGTATTACAAACCTACAGACTCGCACAATTACTTGTTATATTCGTCTTCGCATCCATCTCACGTTAAAAATTCCATTCCTTTTTCTCAGTTTCTAAGACTTCGTCGTTTATGTAGTGATGACTCTGATTTCCACCACAAATCAGAGTCAATGTGCCAGTTCTTCGATAAACGTGGTTACCCTGTTTCTGTCGTTCAAGCGGGTTACCACCGCGCCCAACTTATTGATCGACATTCAGCACTACAAACGTCGCATAAGGAAGATTCCGACCGCATTCCATTCACTCTCACGTTTCACCCTCACAACCACTCAGTTAAATCCATCATTCTTAAAAACTTTAAATTACTTCAAAACGATCCAGAGACAAGCACTATCTTTTCGCAGCCTCCGCTCATTTCATTCAAACGCGACAAAAACATAGGCAATTTTTTGGTCAGAAGTTCTTTTCAGACTAATGACCAACCAGGCACTTTTAAATGCGCTCGTGCACGATGCAAAACGTGTCCTTTCATTCACAACACTGATAAAATATCGGGACCTAAACGATCCATTAAGATCACCGATCACTTCACGTGCACCTCCGCCAATGTAATCTATTGCATAACTTGCACTTATTGCAAAAAGATATACATCGGCGAAACAGGCAGAAGACTAGGTGACCGATTCCGAGAACACCTTCGAGACGTGGAAAGGAATGACAAGGACACATCGAAACCAGTCGCTAGACATTTTAATTTACCTAATCATTCTAAGCAACATATGGCAATCTGCGGTCTTTCCTT